CCATGTTTTAAATGAGGAAATTAAGATGCAGAGAGGTTAAACAGTACAGCTAACACAGCAGAGGTGGAACCTGAGCCCCAGTGGTCTGTCTCTACATCTCTGTTAACCTTACACTGCCTTCTACAATTCTATCTTGCATTGTAACTATTGCCGCACTTACACATTTACATACTAAACTTCCCAATTCGTTTAGGAGACAGTCATGGTTTCAGCTCCATTTGTAGCTCCAATGCCATGCACACAGAAGGCTCTCAAACAGTTTTAATGACCACACAGTCCTTTTTCATCTCTTACCTGAACTACTAAAATAGCCCTCAGAACTTTCTTTGAGGTTTACTTTGTTTTTTGTTTCTATGCACTTCTTTTGTCCTCCAGCCAACAATATCTTTCTAAAGCATGTAATGATGTTATCATTCCACTGTTTAAAAATCTTTAAGGGTATAAAATTCTGTTTTTGTTTTTGCTTTGTAGTAATGAGGACTGAAACCAGAGCCTTCTCAATGACACTACATGTGCAGCCTTCCTTTATTTTTATCTTGAGACAGGGTCTCACTAAATTGCCCAGCTGAGGTTAAACTTGCGATTCTCCTGCCGTAGCCTCTCAGTGTTGTGATTACAGGTGTGCACCATCACACCCTGCTCTGTATAAAATTCTTGTGGCATGACACAGAATGCCCTTGACAGTCTGTTGTAGTGTCTTCTTCTCTGCTCCAATCCTGCACTCCACCTATATTTAGCTTCTTGCCTGTCAATAAACATGCCATCACCCTTCATGCCTTTGGACATGCAGCCTCTTCTGCTAGGAACGCCCATCCTTCCTCACTCACCTGGTGAATTCTTTCTTCAACATAAAGCTCAGATATCTTCCTGAGGTTTTCACCACACTGCCAGTCCATTCCTATACTCTGTTGGCATTATGCATTGACCTCACTTACCATTTGGTATTGTTACCTGACTGTGACTTCCCCAACTAGGAGGTGCAGTCTTAAAGAACAGGGACTATGTCTTTCTAACCTGTTGTGCAGAGAATGTCTAAAAATCACTCATTGAATTAGCAGAATAAAATTTAACTAACAGATCCTATACTCAAGAAAACTCAAATACAAATAAATTCAAGATGGGTAACTCTTCCCAGATTAACTAAAATTCAGGGAGTAAAAATATGAAGGAAAAAAATAACCCCTAAATTTCTGTTGCTCAACCCTGAATTCTATGGACTGGAGTAATTTCTTCCATGGTAATTAACTTAATTGGTAAAATATACAGAGAGGTAATCACAACACGAGCTTTGAAACACATAAGCAAGCCCAAGGCACGTGTTTCCTGCATTAGTATAATACATAAGGACACTGGCAAATTCTTGAATGTGTATCTTAAGGATAAAGAGATGAGTCATTTTATGCATCTTGAAACAACTCCTTACAGACCAGGGAAATTCCTGTCTGTTTACTATAATCACATGGCTTCATTATTCATTAGTCCTAAATGTATGTAGGCTACAACCATTGCAAAAACACTGCCTGCCAATTGTGTAATCAACTTTACACTATTTGCTTTTTATTTAAAGGGGAAATTTTTAAGTGTATGTTAATCCTAAATTAACAGGGAGACCGGGATAGGATAAAGAAAAAGGAAAAATTAGGCATTATTCAATTTTTATCTATTTAATTTCTGAAGTAAGTTTTTAACAAAAACAAACAAACAAAAAAACCTGTCAATTTAAACAATTCATCAGAGTCAGGGATACAACTCAGTGGCACAGTGCTTGCCTGTTTAAGCACGAAGTGGTTAGTTCAAATTCCCAGTACCAAAAAAGGATAAGATAAAATAAAAGATTCATCAGCCTTAGTCTAGCTTTTTTCTTCAGTCATTACCTATGGTAAAAGAAAAAAGTCTATGGCCATACCATCCTGAATGCACCTAACCTTCTTGGTAAAAGAAAAACAAATGTCTTAAAAAGTCAAAAGGTCTTGGTTTCAAGTTTAAAGGCAATATAATTTAATATCATCTTTGATATCAAGTCAAAAGAATTCTTAAAATTCATTAATCATTGTAATGAAACTAAAGTATAGCTCTAATATACAGTTCTAAATGTATGCCTACTATGGTAAATATTTTTTAATCAGTAGAGCAACCGTTTCTAAATTTAGAACATAAGTTCCATGAGAGAGGCTCTTTAATATTTCATTCACTAATGTTTCTCAAAGATCTAGTACCTGGCACAGAGTAGGCATTCATAAAATAGCTCAAAATGGTCAAAATATTTATTATGTCAACATATAAAATGAGCTACAGAACCTCAACAAGTTGAAGTCTGAGTTCATCCTGACATGATCACTGACATGACATTCCTACACTGGGTTTAGCCAATCAACAAAAATAATTCATACACTATCAAAAAACAAATTTGTAACACATAAAGTAATACGACATTTACAAAGGGATCACAAGATTTTGAAACCTTAAAACTTGCCAAGAAGGTGGCAAAAAAAAAAAAAAAAAAAAAAGCCACCAGCACAATCAAAATTTTCAACAAGCACAAACTCTTGTACTTGGAAGTGTATTGCATATAACACACTTCCAAAAGATACACTGAGCTTTACAAAAAAAAAATAAATTAAGCCAAGTACAATGGTATAGGACTGTAGTTTGGCTCCTCAGGAGGCTGAGGAAGGAGGATCTCTTGAACCCAGGAATTTGACAGCAGCCTGGGCAACACAGTGAGACCCAAACATCACTTAAACACATCAAGATATTTACTAAAAAAAAATTCATTTCCAGTATTACAAAAAAAAAAAAATTAAGTACTCCTAAAATTGCTATTCCTGTTTTGCTGTTTACTACTTATAAAAGCACAATATAAATATTTATGACATTGGTATTTTTAGTTTTCTCTATTAAATGACATCACGAGCATTTCACAGTGAATTAGGTTTATTATCCTCCCCCCCTTTAAAAAAGGGGTTACTTTTTCAGCCCTCCTTACTAAGTTACAGAGACCTGTAAAGTACCTTCTCTCCTAGGTCTGTTTTCTGTAGAATGAAAGATCTGCATTAAAACAACAGTTAACTTTTTTATTCTCTGCAACTCTTTGAAAGTCTGTTAAAAGCTGTAAGTGACCTATCCATAAAAATGCACTTACACATACCTACAAAACAGGAATCAACCTAAATGTCCACCACCAGATGGTTAAGTAAATTATATCTATTTGATGAAATTTCACCCAACGAAAGAAGGCAGCACATTTTCTATGTACTAATATGGAAAGATTTCATCATATGTTATTAAGCAAAAGCATATTACAGAAAAATTTGTTTAATGTACAACCTTTTGCATAAAATACTAGTAGGGAGACCAGAGAAATACTCATATTTTGACCAAAATCTCAGAATTTGAAGCAAATAAATAGTGCAGAATCAGAGGGAATTGTGTTTTCATTATTAGGCAAGTTACTTAATCTCTCTGGGCCTAAACCTCAGATATAAAATGGAAATAAAGGTACATACTTAACTCATAAGGATATTATAATGTTTAAAAGAAGTAATAATGAAGCCAGAAGTAATAACGAATGGTGGTGCACATCTACAATCCCAAACTCTGGGAGGCTGAGGCAAAATGATGGGTCCAGCCTGAACAATTTACCAAGACCTTGTCTCAAAAAAATTAAAAGAAGGGTTGGGAGGACACATGGAATGCAAAAGCTATGTACTAATAAAAAATTGATTAATTGATTAATTAATTAATTAAGGGGGGCTGGATTTGTTGCTGAGAGGAACGCCGAGTTCAGAAGCCAGTACCAAAAAACAAAACACTCTCCCCTCAAAAATGAGTAAAAGGCTCACAGAGGTAGGTCCCTACACTCCTAGAAATAAAGCAAGGTATCCTAGAACTGTTGTCTCTGATGGCTTCAACAAAAGCAAACTGTATCCTGAAACCTATAGTTTCTAGGGAGTATGTTTTTATATACAAGCAATGCCTCCTTTTCCCCACTGAAAATAACATATGACAGCATTCCTAACACAAAACAAGCAATTATCTAAAACTTTTCTGATTGATGTTTCCTGAAAATCTAAGCATTTTTAAAAATTAGACCTGTAGATGCGCAGGCTGGCTGTGTCCCAGAGTCCTAAATTGTAACAGTCTAGATTTGTTTTCTAAACAGGTTACTTTGTATCTCAAAACTCAACACCAATGGAGTGGTAGGCTCCAGGTGATGATAAAGGCAAAGAAGTGCAGGTAAGAGTCCTACCTAAAATTGCCAGGATGACAGTACTAAAAGCTACATGACTCAAGACAGAAGTGACCCCCACCAACTAATCTTTTTTCCCAAAACTTTTAAACCCTGTCCAACCTTTTCAGTCAGGCATTACTGGCGCTTATTGTTAGCACCATCATAAATATAAGTAGCTGTCATTTGTCACTTCCTCACTATGAGCCAAACTTTGTGCTAAGCATGCACTTTTCAAGATTTTATGGAAAAAAAAAAAAAAAAAAGCACGTGAGCTCATTCTCCAACCCACACTACTCTCAAGTCTGAAAATTTCCCTTCAAATCCTCAAATCAACGCAACCCCTAAATGCTGGACACTCCACAGCTCTTCTCCTTGCAAGCCCACTCAAGAGCCACTTCCCTCCAAGCAACACGACCCCAAGCTCTCTCGGCCCAACTATAAACCAAGCATTTCCCGGATCTTCCAGGGCCCCTCCCCCTGCACACACCAATTCCAACCTGCCCCTAACTTGTTCCAAGAACTATTTCCCTCCAAACTTCTGACTTGCGTAAGGCTAGGGTCCCCTCGCTGCCCTTCTAAACCCAATGTGCCTGTAGTTCATTCCAAAGTTCAAAATTCAGAAACGCATAGTGCACCTGGGCAAATCCCGGTTGCAACCCCCCGGGAACGCCCCACACCCGCCCCAGCAGGGCCCCGGACTCTCCACCCTCTGGCCAGGCCGGAGCGCGGGGCCTGGCTGCAGACCCCACGCGGGGAAGGGAAGCTCCACCTGGCTCCGCGGGCGCGGCGCGCGCCTCCTGCTCCGGCCTGGGGCCCGCGGCGGCCGCGCCCCCGTCCCGGCGCGGGCGGCAGCGCTCCGGCTGGCCGCGACGGGCGCGCTCGCCCGGCACCTCCGAGTCGGCCTGGCTGTCGTCGCGGGCCCGACGGCGGGACCAGCCCGGCCCACGGGCGCGGCAGCGTAGGCAGCCGGGGCCCGCCGCATCCGCGGCGCGTTGGGCGCAGCCTCGGCACAACGAGTGACCGCACGGCAGGGCCGCCGCTTCCCCCGGAGTCTCCAGGCACCCGGCGCAGCCGGACTCCTCCGCTCGCGAAGGCGGCGGCGACGGCAGTACCAACATCGCGGGGCCAGAGGCCGGGCCTGGGGCCCCAGTCTTTGCTGCCGCCATCTCGTCACAGCGACCCCGCCGGCCTCGCCGACTCAGAGCCGTAGCTACCGCTGCGGAAGAGGCCCGAGTACTCGGACCTACCGCCGCCATCTTGTTTCCCGTTTGAAGGGAGAGTCCGTTGCGAGGGAGAAGAGTAGAGGGCGGGGCACCGCGCGGCTGGCAATTTATCTGCATATTTATGAGAGGGCGTGGCTCCATTGGACCTGGAGAACATTTTCCCCAGGCCTGGTTGGCGGGACAGGACACCTCATTAATATTTATTACGTAATTTTACATATGCAGTCTTTAGCCTTTCCCTCCGGAGCTTTTGCTGTTTTCTATTTCTGAAGATGAGATTGAGAAATAAAGGGGTTTATTTGGAATTCTGACAAGTATTAAATTTTGTGAAGTAATTACACTTGTTTATCTTGCAATACCCTGATCACTCACGCTGAAGTTGTGGAGCCTGAGAAATACCCACAAATCAGATTTAGCGCTTCCTTTCCTGTGAGGGCCTGTGCTCCTCCCTAAGAATTATAAAAGCTGTGACTGAAGCCAGGACCACTGTGACCAGTGTTTTCAGTGCAACTAATTACCAAATGCAGCAGCCTCTCCACAATCCATCTCATCCTCTCTGTCTTGGTTACTTTTCTGTTGTTGCTGAAACAAAATACCTGATGCCCAAAATTAAAGAAGGAAAGATTTATTTTAGCTCACAGTTTGTGGGGTTTCCAGTCCATAATCAGTTGGCTTCAAGGCAGGATGGCATGGCAGAGGAACACCATACATGGTGGTGGAAGATGGCAAAAGCAACAAGAACAAAAAGGGATGAGCGAGCAGAGAAGACTCTGTCCTTTATGTTGTATGTTGGCTACCACCCTAGGGTGGGTACAGCACACTCATAATCCCAGTGTTGGACTATGAATCAATCACAGTTTCTAGAAGCCTGCTCCATGACTGTATAAGGCTTTGGGGAAACATCCAGAAACAAAACATAACATTTCTGCCCCTGGATCCCCAAAGACTCATGCATATCCTTTATGGAAAAGATATTTAGTCCATCACCAAGACTTCTCAAAGTTTTAACAGTTTCAGCATTGCTGAAAAATCCAAATCCCAAGTCTCCTCCATGATCTAAGGCAAACTCTTAGCTGTGAGCCCCCGTACAAATGAAAAGTTAAACACTTCCAACATTCAATGGCACAAGGTAAACATTAACATTCCCAAAAGAATAGTAGATACAAACAGAGATACAAAAGAATGGAACCAACAAAGTCCAACATCCAGCAGGGCAAACATTAAATCCTATAGTTCCATGCTGAACATCAGAAGCAATCTGTGCCAAATTGTGAGTCCCAAAGGACTTCTGTGGTCAGCCTCATAGCACTTTTGGTGGTTGTAGCTCCCACAGCTTTCTTTTCCTCCCTCTTTGCAGGTTTCCTCAGATGACTCACAATTCCTGGCTTCTCCAAATTTCTGGGGTCTCCATTGCACCTTTGGCTTCACCCTCACAGCTTCACATATTGCCTACTGCCTGGGCTCCCAGGCCTTCTGAAATCTAGGTAGAAGCCTTTTTAACCTCAGAACTCTTGCATTCTACATGCACCTAAAACCCCCACATGTGGGTGATACCAAGGTCCACTGCCAGCTGGAACAGTAGCCAAGCTTTCTTCTCTCTTCTTAACCCCATGGCTTGGGGTTAAGCCTGGGACACTGGGCACTCTGAATCTGATTCTGAGGAATACATTGTCTACACTGCCAACATTCTAGAACTTGGAGCAGCTACCACTGCCACCACCATTCTGGAAAATAGTGTGGCCACCACCATTCTGAACATGGTGCTCTGTGGCTTTCTTTCCAACATCTCTTATTTTTGCAGTTTTGAGGCTGAAAAGAGTGAGGATATGCTACTGCTTGTGATGCCCTCAGGACATCTTTTATATTCTCCCATTCCCTCTCAGCAATTGAGATCTTCTCAGCTCTATTTTTGCAGTCCACAGCTTTACTGGAGATTTTTTTACTGACCAAACACACAACACTTTAAATCATCCTGATGGATTTTTGCTCTTAATTGTCAACATAAATCTGGCTAAAACCCCTGCAAAATAGACATGCCACAGCATCAACATTTGACTGACTTGAAATTTCTTCTGCCAGATTAATTAATCTGTCACCCTTAATCTTAGTCTTAGGCAAAGTCTCTGGACAGGAGAAAAATGCAGACAAACTTTTTGTCAAGCTATAACATACATCATCTGGACTCCAACAACCATTGCAGTCCTTTCCATCAGAAACCTCCCAAGCCTGGCCTTTGCCCAGAGGATTTCTATCAGCCTTTTGGTCTTTTAAACTCTGAACCAGACTCTTCCATACAGACTATCCTAAGGTGTTCCATTGCTACTCTTTCAGGCCACATCTCTGAACCTTTCCAACATCTTCCCACAAGCCATTCCCAAAGATTCTTGAACCACATAGTCAGGTATAGTCAGCAGTGACCCTATTTCTCTGGTACCAAAATCTGTGTTGGTTACTTTTCTTTAATTGCTGAGACAAAAAATCTGATACCCCAAAAATAAGGAAAGAAAGGTTTATTTATCTCACTGGAGTTTTGTGGAGGTTTCAGTGTATAATCAACTGGCTCCAAGGCAGAGTGGCATGACACACATAGGGGCAAGCTTTCACCGTGGCAGAAGACAGCAAAAACAACAAGAGCAAAAAAGGAGGAGTGCAAGAGAAGTCTCTTTCCCTCCCTTATATTTTATGTAGACTTCCTAACCTAGGGTAGGTGTAGCTCTCACACCCATGATCCCAGCATTGGACCATGAATCAATCACAAATTCTAGAAACCTGCTTCCACAATTGCATGAGACTTTGGGAGGGACATCTGGACACAAACCATAACACTCTCTTTCCACATCCCTTCCTGAACTCCCCTCCTTTGGCTGGCAAATCATACTTTTTTGTTTTGTTTTGTTTCTCCAACCTCTTTAGTTCCATTTCAAGACTCTTTCTTTGAGTGGCACCTATGCCTGCAGCTTAAATACAGACAAACCTCTAAGCTCAGGCCACTGTCCCCTTCTCTGCATCCTCCCCTGCAGGGTCCATCTCACACTTTCTTCCTTCTGAAACTCCCAAATTGATACCTGTAGCCCAGACCTCCTGAGTCCTGCCCTGCATATTCAGCTGCCCAATAGAAACATCCCATGGAGGTCTGCATCTCTCAGGTGCAAAAATAATGTCACACTCTTCCACACTCTTTTGAAACAGCTGTTTTCCTTGTCCTAGTAAAGGTTCAAACTTCCCCTGACCTCAAACTGCAAAACTGGACATATTTAACTTCATCCTCATGTCCTGTATCCTCTCAGGTACTTAGTCCTGTCAGTTCTCTCACCAAAAAGACTATTGTTCCACCTATTCCTGCCTCGTCATTCCACTTCCACTGCCCAATTCAGATCTCATCATCCCTCCCCTAGAATAAATATTGTGGCTGCTTCTATAATGTGTCTCCCTTTCTACAGCCTTCCTTCCTCTAACCCCATGATAGTGAACCTTCTAGAGCTTTCAGTGATACAAACCCCACATGCATGTTATAGATTCACCAGCAATTCTCTAATCTAGTCTCTGAAGTTCTTAGAGTTACTTCCTGAAGGCCAACTCTGACCAAGTCATTCCTGATTGAGTCAAAGTGAAGTGCTCAGACTTTGATGCCAGCACCCACTCTGGATGCAAAGGATATGACAAAAAGAACTCCTCCCTTCTGAAGAAGAAATGGTTCTGCTCTACAGGTCTTCCACTTTTTATTTTCTTTCCCCTGAGGTAGATTTGCAGCAGGAAGGGCATTACATAAATGGCATTTCCTGTTAGTAATCTTCATAGGGAAGTAGAAGTTTTGTAAAGTAAACAGAATTAAACACTTAATGTAGTGTGGGGATATAGCTCAGCAGTACAGCACCTGCTAGGCAAGAATAAAGTCCTGAGTTTGATTACCAGTACCAAAACAAACTAGCAAACAAAAAGAAAAACAACCTAATAGAAGAGACCCTGAGTTTCCATGAGATTGTCCAGAGCCTGAGATAAACCAATCCAAGGAAGAGCGATTGGTTAAAGCCACAGTGCAGGACCTAGGTATGTAGCTCAGTGATAGAGCACTTGCCTAGCATGCTTGAAGTCCTGAGTTCCATCCTCAACTGCCCTCCAAAAGAAGTCAGAAAGCAGAAAAAAGGAAGAGGTGGATTCCCAAGATGAGAACTAAGTGGCTAAAAGTCAGTCACAAATTGAGAAAGAAGTGGTCAGTGAGTAATTGAAACAAATATTTGTGTGCACAGAGGCCCAGACAGTTGAAATCCTTCCAGATAAAGAAGTATGGCATTGGTTGAGCTGTCTTTTACCCAAGAGGCTTCCTCACTCTTCTTCCTAGTTGAGATTCTTGAAGACATTTTGCCCAGTTCTGACCAGGGAGACTTTTGTAGTGCAGAGATCAAGTTTGCCACCATTAGAAACCAAGCCTTTCATGGGTGCTGCTCACCCTTGCTGGCTTCTTCTGTCTCTTAGTCTGAAGGACCTGTTTACTTCTGGAGGTGAGAAACAACACTGTCCCAAGCTTCCCAGGATACAATAAAGGCAACAAATTTCCTTTTGCAAGAGGTCTGAGTAGCACTAGACCGGATGTTAGGATATCTGAACTTGGTCTTGTCCCCTTTCTTTAATGCCCATGTGATGTCAAAGAGCTACATTCTTTCTAGGCCTCAATCTCCTCTTCTTTAATACAAAGATGTTGGAATTCAGCAGTTTTCAACCTAGGATGCACCACACATATATACTCCAATACTCTATATTACATCTAAAAAAACCCAAAACTGAGGCAAGTGATGGCAGAATATGTACATTTTTTAATGCTGTAAGAATTCTAACGGATTAACTTCCCTAATTTCTCTCTCAGTGTATTTGTTGCTTGTGCACAGGAATGCTATTGATTTTTCAGTATTGATTTTGTACCCAGCTACACTATTGAATTTAGTTATTAAATTTGCAAGTCTTTTGGTGGAGTTTTTGCAGTCTTCTATATACAGTACTATGTCATCTGAAAATAATGATAATTCAAGTTTTTCCTTTTCTATCCTTGTTACTTTTATTTCTTGCCTAATTCTCTCTAATGGTTCCAAAAC